AGGTTGACAATCTGAACTGCTCACTGCTATATTTAGCAGAAATTACAAGTTTGTAGTGCCATCCAGAAAGGTCAGACAGTTTTAAAAAATTTTATAGTTATAAAACTAGCTGCCAGCTTTAATAGTCAAGACATTTTATAAAATGAAAGTTATGCTAAAATAGAGATGATCTAAATATAGCCATATAATATGCATAGCAGGAACCTGGCATGAATATTGTTTATTCAGAAACCCACTTACACTTCAATAATGCATTTTTCACCTGCACATGGCTGGCAGTGTTGCTAAAATGCAACCAATAAGTGATTTGGGCCTCTTAATATACATTGTGTGTGTGGTCTTTTTAATTTCTTTTTAGCAAACACCTTCGTCATCTTTAGTGTAGGTCCAGGACTAAGGGGGAGGGGTTCGTGTGACTCAAACAAACAGCTCACAGATGTAGCTGCCTTACCCTGTTGGCTTTTGGGAGCAGCAGATATCAGTTGCTGGGCATATATTTCATTCAGTCTTCACAGAAATTATCAAACAGGACTCCTGCTGTTAGGAAATAAATAATGTGAGAATAACAAGCTTGCTCCGGAAGCAGATGTCCCTGAGTGCAGCTGGTGATGGGATGAAGGAATAAGGTGCTATTTATTACTAGTTATTATAAAGTAGCTCTTTTGCTGCTATAACACCAGCAGGTTCCTTGCTTTTATGGAATAAAGCAAAACACTACAATTTGGGGAAGATTCCTTAGCGTGGGTTTGGATCTTTGCTGAATTTGGACCAGAAAAAAGTTTTACTTCATAATAAGCTGTAAAGCTTGTAGGGGAGCCATCATTTGGAACATTTAATAAAAACACATTTTTAAACCAGTGGAGTTATCACCTTCAAGTCTGACTGCAAGATGCATGAAATGATTGATGCTACAAGAAAATACGAGGATTTCTTTCCAGAAGATGTTTTTACACATGTTGCTATGTGTTCTGACACTAAGTGATGAGTTGAAAGAACTGTTGGGAATGAAGCAGCAAGGCAGAGTGAAGAGAAGCCTTTGCATTTGAATAATGTGTTACTAAAACAGCTGACACTGAGGAGGCCTGGCTTTCTGACTAAAAAAACCCCAAAAAAGTAATGAAAAGAATAACTGTAAGTTTAAATATTATCGAACTTTTTTTCTAAAACCGCAGATTGCTTTGTTTATTTCTTTTAGCTCTTGAGTTTTGAGGGATCTTACTTAGGTTTGGAACCAAGATGATTGTTTAAAATGAATAGCAAATAGAAAGCACGTTTTAAATCCTATGTTCTGTAAAACACTGTATCTTTCTCACTGTGTCTCTGATATCAAGCTCTGCATCAGTGAAATCTGGCACCATCTGGAAGTCAATCCTGCTTCCACTGGAGCTAAAGACAAATTTCTTCCTTAATGGAAATGAAACATAATCTTTTCATAGAATGTTTCATTTTCATATTAAACTTGTAGCTTTTTCTGTTCATTCTTCATTAGCCATAAATTTCAGCCTAGGCTTAGAAATTGCCTGAGCTAAAGAAACCATATGTTTGAGATTATATGTTAGTAAAACTTTTCTGATTTGTCAAAACTCCTTTGAACTAGGTTTCTGGCATGTTCCTCTGTAAATATTTGAAATGAGATATTTGTATGCCAAAGAACTGAAGGAATTCAGTTTACTGTGGAATATGTGAAATGTCTCTTGAATAATTTATGATGAAGCAACCTAATTAGAGGTTTATTAAGCTTTAATTTGATGCTTTAAAATTAAACTACAGGAATGGTGAAGTAAAATGCTTTTAATACTGTGTGTAGTGGAGAGTATATGAGTTACCCCATGTACCCATACCTTACAGGATCAGATCAAGTACTGACAGTTTAGTTCTAAAAGCTTTTAGGTGTGCTTATCTTGGTATGACAGTGCAGTTTTTTTTCCTTCTGTATTATTTCAACTTGCTTGAAAATCTTAGTAGGACATTACCATGTAGAGTACACATATAAAAAGAGGATTTTGGAGGGAGAGTATCCCTACCTGCAAGAAGGAAAGTTTCTACAGTAAACTGGAACTACTTGAAGCATTTGTGGGGACATGTGTGCCTTAAATAAGAAAAAGCCACATAGAATTTTTTTATTTAGTCCATTATCCTAAACAGGTATCCACACCCCTCTAAGAAATGCTGCTTTTCCAAGAAGCAGAACCATCTACCCAAAACGGGATGCTAATCACAGATGAAGTCCAACCTCTAGGAACTCTCTGTGTCCATATAGAACGTGGTGTGGAAAGTATTTCTGTCACTGGGAGGTGCCCCACAGAAACAATACAAGGTTTTAACTTGCATTGTGCTTCATAACAGGAACAGTGATTCAAATATAAAGATTTGTACTACAAAAATGTATGTGTATTCTCAAACGTGAATCCACCAATTTGAAATGCCTTAGATTATGACAGAAATCCAGGCAGCAGATCTTCAGCTTCAAGGAAGAGCCACAATTTTTCATTATAAAGTATTTAAGGTGTGTACCTGTTGTCTTGCTCTCCTCCATGTTTCATTAAATGCTTGTTTCTTTCATTTACAGCTGGGTAGACTATGTTCTTCCTCAAAAATGTAGACTGTTCCCAGAGGCAACTAGGAAAGCTGGGAAATCAATAATTATCAAAATATTTTGAATGAGAGTTTCACAGCTGCTGAAAGAACTTGGGAGCATAGATCATTTGCATGGGACATACTCAGAATTGTAATTTTGAGGGTATGTACTTGAGGACAGTACTTTCCTGCAGTCACATATTTCCAATCAATTAGACAAAATGCAAGATGTTATTCCAAATCCATGCAAAGCAGGCTTTATATTATAATAATCATATTCTTTAAATTTTTGAATTGGATAGTTGGCACACTTTCAAATGCCAGATCTGCCTTAATTGTTTGTCTGGCTTGCCTACACATGGATTATTTATATTGTGTCCTGTTTCTTAATGTGTTTCTCTACAGGCTTCAAGATCTCTCTGGTCCAGCGATTCTTTTATGGTTTGTTTTGCTTAGACAGCTGGAGACTAAATTCTGGTTTTAAGGGAGAACACAGAACTGTGCAAATATACGTTTTCAAAATATCTAGGAATAAACACACTGTCTAGCAAAGCCAATAAGCATGTTTTGCACACTTACTGTTTAGTGAAAAACAGTAAGTGTGTTTATAGAGAAATCAGTTTATAGATAAAGCAGCTATAAATTTATTTCCTGCAACAGAACAGGAAAAAGAAATAAGCTCAGAAAAACGTAGCCAGCAGTAAGAGATACCTGATTAAAAAAAAAATTACAACATGGCTACCAATTGGTTTTGTGAAAAAGTTAAGAACAAATCCTTCAAACTGAGGTAGCTCAGAGAATTGCCACAATCCTCTGGATTTTTAAGTGCATATATAATCTTTACAAAGCCTTTGAGATCTTCTTATTAGTGGAAAAGAACCCCACTGTTCCAAATTACAGCTTCTAAGAAGATGGTACACTGCCAGGACTTCACACAGGAAAATAACTGGTCCTGAAATTGAAACAGATCTTCTTTTTCAAGGAGCCTAAAAACCTGAACAGACTGTGCTCATTCACTTTGTGAAGATCCACCCTTGTGACCTAAGCAGGCTCTGTTAGCCATATGCTGATAGATATTATGCAAGTGCTGTATGTTCTCTCATTTGATGACTTGAATGCCTTCAGCTGTGTGTAAGATTTATCTGAAGCTCAAAAATAGAGCAAATTTGTCTTCTGCTGGCAGAAGTGCTGCACTTGCTTTTGAAACACCGTTAATCCTGAGCAGAGACTACCCGACTGAGAACATTTGTGAAACTATCTTTCAAACACTTGCCTTTAGTTAGGAGAGAAGTTGAAGACTGAGACTTGCTGAATCTTTGGTATGCAAAACCTTGAGATGAGAGCAGGTGGAATGACATGCAAGAGCCTGAATGTTAAAAGGGAAAGACCTAAATCTCGGTGGAAACAAGATATTTGGGCAGGATTGAGAGAAGATTAGCTGTCAAACTGAAAGAAGTCTGGTTGTTTCATTCACTGTGTATACTTCCCACATATTAAGCCTTCAGAATTCTGCTTTTCAAAATTAGAATTGAATTGTGTTGAACTGCTGTCCTACAGCTTTTTAAACACCATAGATATTACAAACAATAAGTAGAAGGGACAAGAGCTGCTCAGTATGAGATGGTATAAGACATTCTTCACACTCAGAGTTGCAAGGCTAATCTGCTTAAAATTAGCCTGCATGTCTTATCATCCCTTGGTAACTCATCTTGTATTGTAGCATAGGCATATTCATAGTAGCTGCCTGAGAGTATTCATTAAGAAATGCAGATTTTTTCAATATTCAAAATATTCTTTTTGTTTACTGTTTTCCAGCTCTTGTAATTGCAGCTCTCAAACTTAGCTGTACACCGTTAGACCACGAGACTTTTTTTTCCACTACTTTTATTCTGGAATCAGTAATTTACAATTACCACTTGACTGGAAAGACAAGAAAGAAAACACAGTTGAAGTTTTTTCCTAACAGATGATTCAAGGATAAAAAAACCCAAACACTTCAACACAACATCTAAGAGAAAATGAAATTGGATTTGAAGAATATTGGTGCTTTTTCCAAAGTTTTGGGAGCATGAGGAACAATTGAAATTTGAAGATGGGCCTAATGTTGAGAGACAGGGAGATGCTCAGAAGGTTATGAGAATAACCTCCCTGTGTACACCATGAGGGTCATTAGCAATATGGAAATTTCTTAATCTAACTTAGTAGAATCAAATTTTACACAGACTTCTGTGCTTGATTTCCCCCAAAACATTTGATATTTTTTTTTGTCTGTTTGGACAAATTCACATTTTTCTGTTTAGACAAAATCACTTATCATCCTAGGTGTTGCTCCCTTCTAACTCTGCCTTCAAAGAAAATCATACAGCTACAGCTGTGGTATGAATTTGGAGTCCTGTAACCCTGTACTGTTATTCTTCGTGCAGGCACTGCCGAGAACACTGGTAATGGTTTAGCTTTGAAGAGTCTCAGCTAAACTGGAGAAAAGTGCCCCTGTTGCAAGAAGTTATATTGAGGTAAATGATAAAGATTCCCATTTAGAAACAAGCTTGTATAGAAAATGCTTGATGGTTTGATAAAGCTTGCAAAGCATATAAAGTACTAATAATCATCAAATTATTAACAGTGTTTTGCACTTTATGTACAAACTGAGTGACATTCCCTTTAAAATTGTTGTGTTAACTTCAAATTTCACTGGAGGAGTTAAAGAAAAATCCATATAGTAACTTATCTTAATACTGTCTGGCTATGCATGAAAACTATTTCCTATAATTTAAGTGTGTTTGAATTTGAGAATATCAGTACTGATTGTAAATGCAGCTTTCAGTTCTCTTTTAAAAGCAGATTTTTAATTTTAGAAGTGTTTGCTTATTTTTAGTTAGTCTGTTTTGAAATTACAGTTGACAAGAAAGATAAGGGCAAAGATCAGCTAAGGAGGAAAAGGGAATTTTGTGTCTTTGTACACTTGGGGCAACTCAGAGAAATTGGAACAGATGCAGTTTACTTGGAAGTGAAAAGAATAAGTTGATTAGGAATGTTTGTTCTATCCAACTCTGATTGTGTAACCCTGAGGAGACTCAGCTGTATACTGGCCTTGGCATACACATAATCCAAGCTTCCATAGTCTGATGTTGATTAAGGAGTGAAATGTTTAATGATTTATTTTTCTTCAATAAAAATTGCAGTAGGCAGCTAATACCAGCCATGAACCCCCTACATAGTCACGAGATAGTTCTCCACAGTGGAATAACATATATCTGAAATACATCAGTCCTCGGGCTTTCCACTGGCATATTGACTCCCACATGTTTATTTAAAAATAGCATATATTAGAATAGCTTGACAGAAATTGTGACTAGACTATTAGTCAGTAACCTCAGGAAAAGGAGGCTAAAAGTATGCCAAGTTGACACTTTCTTACAGTGTACTGTAAACACTGGAAATAGTCATTTGCTGCTCAAGTCCAATAGTGTGAAAGAAAAACACTTAAAAATATATCAGTATGTAGTCAGCAGTTATAAAAAAACCTAATCTGAAATGAAAAAGACTCTTGTTCTGATCTCTGTTTACCACAGTGATGTTGCTGAGTAGCACCAATGAATCATGAATTGTAACCTGCCAGTGTTATTGCTACCACTGAAGTTGTCAGTCTTGGTAGGAACTGGAAATCTCCAAAGCCAGGTAGGAGACAGCAAAAAAACATGATGTCTCTATTACTGCCTCTCTTTCATAACAAGTTAACTTCATAAACATCAGAATTAGGAAGCTGTTTGCCCGTGTATGTGTGTTTTATGTCTGCTTGCACGCTTTGTCTCGAGTTTTCTCTCTGGTTAGAACATAAGTTCTCTTTCCTGGAAATACTCAGAATTTTAAGAAAGCATAAATATGTTCTGCAGCTTTTCTCTCAGTGGAATATGTAATGTGATTACATAAAGATCTCTCCCTTCCCATCTGTTTAGTGTCACAGAACTTGTGGGAACATAATATCTCTGAGGCCGTGTCCCTCTGTCAAATTTTGTTAAAATTGAGGAATGTGTTCCAAAGCTATTGAAGGAGATAAACAGTGTGAAGTTATAATCCACATTTCCTTAGGATCGGGGGGAAAAAAAAATCAGTGTTCCATATCTCTGTGACAGAAAAACAATTTAACTTCATTACAAAATTTCACTGCTGGGTTTACAGTATCTGTGAATTATGTTATTGCTGGGTTTGCCTTACTGGCCTTTTGTTTAGATGGAACAATGTAGTATTTGCTACTTGGGCTTCAGGAGCTGTTTTTGGACACTGTGGGTGAGGCACTGTACAGCTGACGTCATGTCACTGGCATCAGGGGGAAAAAAGGAAACTTTGCAAACAAAATTTTGATTAATACTGAACACCAGTCTTACTTTTCTAGTCTCTGATGGTTAAACTGAAGATGCCACCATAAGCACTTACTGAGGAAAAAAATCTTGCTTATTCGGTTTTTGTTTTCCAGGTAAAATATTACATCTGAAAATGCAGTCAGTGAGGAGAGTCAGTTAGTCAAAACAGACACAAATACGAATTCTGTCTATTAGTTGTTTTTGTCTCTCTGTTTTTTAATTATACATTTTGCTTTCAAACCTAAAATTTTAAAATCTTGACGTAGGAAATTATTAGGTTAAGAAGATATTGAGTTAAGAAATTATTGCTCCATGAAAATGGGTTAGCTGCTGGGGAAAACGAATAAATGAAGATAACTTAAGACATGGATGGAACATAATTTCCAGCTTCTACAGTTTTGGTTTAGCTTGGTGCTGCTGTGTCTCAGCTTTACTAATTTCGTGGAGACAATATCTGTTCTCCGTTAAATTGCGGCATTTTCTTTCTTATTATCTTTTTTACAATTCAGCACTTGAGGTACTTTCCTTTTCTGTCCTTGTTCACGCTATCGGGAAGTTCTTCAGAAAACTGAATTAGGCAGTTGATAAAGTCACGTATTAGATTATGCTCCTCATTGAATTTCACACAGTGAAGGTTTCCCTCTGTCCATGGATCCAAAGCGATGATGCGTGGCTGCTTTGCCTATGCTAATGGAATATCTAACTTTGTTTTGCATTGGTGGAAATGATCCATTGCTCTGTTGAGGGAGTGGAAATGTTTTGCCAGATACAATTTTCCTGGTCTTACTAAGGCAACAACAATTGCTTTTTAACAATGCAAATGAAAAGCATCAGCATAATGATAGTTCTCTCGGTATTTGACAAATTACATATGTTTGACTTTTTACAATTATAATGAAAGTATTAGTAGAACTTAATAACACTAAATAACTGTTCTTTCTATATTTCCATCCAAAAAAAGAACCTGAGTATTTTATAGTTTTTTTTTCTTCTGGAGTCTAAATCTCCTAAAGATAATAATTTTAAAAAAGTATGACATTGTATACTTTAATTGTTTTCTTTTCGCCTCTTTCATCGTGTGAGTTCTATGAAAGATGGCTAAATAGTCTTGGCAGTTGTTTTGGAACTTGAGTTTTGTAAACTGCTGTGGCTCGGTGTCAGTCATCATATATATGAAGGCTCAGTTTTAGAAAATACTTCATTGTAAGGTGTTTGTTCTTTAAAGAAAAGCCACTGAAGACACATAATATGTTTTAAATTGATTGCTGTATGTTTTCAGGGTCTCTGGACTGAGGACTGATGGCCAGTACATTTTGGTTTATTGTATTTCATAAAACCAAAAGACAAATCCTTTCCAATAGCTGAGCAATCCTTGGTGTCATTAAAGAGCGAATACTTGAAGAATATTAAAGAACAAAACTCAAAACAACACTCTAAAGCCAGAGGTGACTATGCATTTAAGGAAATAGTGGTGCACCAGCCACTGATATAAAGGTACTGATATATTTATTTAAAAATAAAATTGTGTTAGTCATTTTCTTAGGTATTATCTTTGCTTTATGCTTTCTCACATTAGCTGCTTCCATTTGCATAGCAGCATTCTCAGCAGCATAAAATGCTTTCGTATAATAAACTTTTCTCTCCTTTAAGGGACTGCAATGTTTGTCTTACTCATTTTTTTTGGAGAGTGCAAGCATAAGTAAATGTTTGTCTCTTCTAATGGCTAATGCTACTTATTATTCTGGCTCTTACCTTTTTTTTTTTTTTTTTTTTTTGAGATTTTGTGGTGGGTTGGCCCTGGCTGCACATCAGGTGCCCACCAAAGCTGCTCTTTCTCTCCCTTCCTCGGCTGGACAGGGGATAGAAAATATGAAAGGCTTATGGGTCAAGATAAGGGCAGGGGGAGATCCCTCAGCAGTTAGCAACACAGGCAAAACAGACTCAACTTGAGGAAATTAGTTTCATTTATTAACATTGAAATTAGAGTAGAATACTGAGAAATGAAACCAAATATTAAAACACCTTCCCTCCACCTCTCCTTTCTTCCTAGGTTTAAGTTCTGATTTTCTCTACCTCCTCCCCCCCCAGTGGTGCAGAGGGCTGGAGAAGGGGGGCTCTGGTCAGTTCATCACACATTGTCTCTGCTGCTCCTTCCTCCTCATGGGGAGAACTCCTCACACTCTTCCCCTGCTCCAGTGTGGGATCTCTCCCACAGGAGACAGTTCTCCATGAACTTCTCCGATGTGAGTCCTTCCCACCGGCTGCAGTTCTTCCCAAACTGCTCCAGTGTGGGCCCCTTCCATGGAGTGCAGTCCTTCAGGAACAGGCTGCTCTAGTGGGGGTTCCCCACTGGGTCACAAGTCCTGACAGCAAACCTGCTCCTGCTTGGGCTCTTCTCTCCATGGGGCCACAGGTGCTGCCAGAACCCTGCTCCAGTGTGGGATTTCTAAGGGGTCACATCCACCTGCTGTGGTGTGAGATCCTCCATGGGCTGCAGGTGGGTCTCTGCTACCTCTTGGACCTCCATGGTCTGCAGGAGCACAGCTGCCTCACGGGCTGCAGGGGAATCTCAGCTCCAGAGCCTGGAGAACCTGCTCCTCCTCCTCCTTCTGCCCTGACCTGGGTGTCTGCAGGGCTGCTCCTCTCAGGTATTCTCACTCCTCTCTTTGGCTGCAGCAGCACAGTTTTCCCCCATCTTGTACACGTTGTCCCAGAGGCACTACCACAGTCACAGGTGGACTCAGCCTTGGACAGTGGTGAGTCTGTCTTGGAGTCATCTGGAACTTGGGCTATCAGATATGGGGGAAGCTTCTAGCAGTTTGTCATAGCAGCTGCCTCTATAGCTGCTTTGCAGCCCCCCTGCTATCAAAACCTTGCCATGCAAACCCAATACAGATTTCCAGAACAGAATTCCCAACTTTTAGGAGCTCTTGCTCAAAAAACTTTCAGCCTTTGCTACAAAAGAAATTACGAAAATGTCTAAGAGGTCACAAGTTTTGGGTTAGCTTCACTTTTTTGGTACTTAGCCTGTTCTTTGGAATATACTGTCACACTTAATTTTTTCAGTTCTCTGCACTTAGTGACACCTAACAATGGACTTGAGGGTGTGTCACGTTTTTAACCCATTAACAAGTGGCCTTTTCCCCTGTGCTGTTAAATTGTGTGGGCTCTAGTGAGTTCACCTCATTACAGTATTTGCATATTCTCTAATAAGGATAATTTTCCTCCGCACATCCTTCTCTTTATTATTTATCATCTGCAGTCTGTGACTTTTCTAATCACTAATCAGAGTTAGCAGAGGTTTGGTAATGTGTGGGATTTTATGGCACTGTCAGAGCTGCATTCAGCTGCTGCAGTCAGTGATTTATCGGAGCAGGTGGTGCCAATTTCTCTGTTGTTTGTACCTGCAAACAATTGGAAATCAACTGCATGTCTGGAACCCTTTGGTGGATAACACTGATGGTCTTGTCTGTAATGGTTGGTCCATGTGCTACTTTTGTTTGACTCTGCCTTGGAACTAGATAGGCCATTCTGTCTCAGATGTTTGGGTTTGCCTTTTTTTTCAGGCGTTTTAGATTCAATCTACCAGTGTCCAAGGATCCTTTTTATGCAATATCATTATGCAATATCATTATTTTTATCCCTAACCTTTTCATTATACTCAGCAGAGTACCCAAAGAGCCTAACCTAAAACACCTTTTCTTGTGCTCTGATAGACAACTCATTTGCATGCAGACTGTAGGACTGACTGACTGTATAATCTGAGATTAGTCACAAAATTCTCTTGAATCTTTACTTTGCTTTATGTTTTATTGGAAAACATCTTTCTTGCGTCCCATGTGTGTATCAAGGTCCTCAGATTTCTTCAGTGCAGTCTGGGTTAATTCATGCAGGGGCAAACAGCTAAGAAAATGCTTCAATATAGCAGCTACTTCTAAATCAGCTATTGTCAGAAACTGGGTACCAACAAAAAGGTAACTTTTGCAGTTAAACAGAGAAGCCATCCTGAAATGTCCTGCAGCTGTTTTCCATATACATGCTCAGTTTTGCATCTGCTGGCAAACTTTAATTTATCAGTTCTTACTAGTTTGTTCTCACATTTTTAAAATAAACCCAAGTAGTGGCATGCTGGAGCTATACTTCGCTGAATGTGCTTACAGAAATTTAGCTTTGTTCCATCTCTGGTTGTTTATAACAGAAAGTTTCACAGCTTTACCTGTTCTGCAGGAAAATCAATTAAAGACAAAAGGGGTATGTGTGGGAGTGGAAGTAAGCTTGTGGTGAAAGGTGGGGAGGAAAAAGAGTTATAAATGAACACGATGTTTGTAGCTTCAATGTTCATTTTAGATGAGTAGAGTTAACAAAGCTCTGTGTGATCTAGCTTTCCTAAATAGCTTTTCATAATGCTGAAACGTGCTGGATGTTGATGGATTGATCGGAATGTGCTCTTTCACAAAGTGCACAGTAAAAGGTCCACAGAGTGAGTTGAATTGCAAAAGCTGACAAATTGTTTCTAGCATGTTTGCTGCTAAGACACAAGACTTTTGCTGCTTGCTTGAAATGGAAGAACAAACAAGTGGACGGGCTCTCTATTGTACACGGTCGGCATTTGGGGAAAGACGTCGCCTTAGAACTGTGCTGATGGCTGTGATTGCATCCCAGAGAGGAAGATGAAGTGTGTTTAGCTGGCTGTTTTAACAGGAACATGAAACCTTGTCTGGGTGAAAAATGTTGATGCTTTTATCGATAGGGCTCAGTAAACTGTAGAGTATATGCTGCCATCCATTTTAAATGCAATAAATGTAAGCGCTACCGTAATTAGTTGTGGTACACTCGCTTGTATTTCATTTTCCCAAGCTTGTTTCAGCTAGTTTTAGTTTTTCAATTGCTTCCCTCAGACGTTTGTGGCAATCGAGAGAACTTTAATATTATTCATTATTTTAATTTTTGTGAGTAGGTTAAATATTGATTTTAGTATTAAAAAAACAGAACCGGAATTGCTGAAGGAATATTCTGCAGAGATACTCTTTCAGAGCAATTTATCTTACACGCAGGGTTTGTGTTGAGAGGTCATGGTCAATGACACAAAAAGGTGCCAGCAAAATCCCAGGCGGTGAATTCAATTGTATTGTGATTGTTGTCTTTGCAACATGACACTGTAGAGATCAAAAGTATCAGTGGGTTCAAGAAGAGATTAAATAAATTAGTTAGGCATGGGATTCCTAAACTGTGCCCTGAGCTCTGGGAAATAGATTTTGTTAGCATTTCTGTCTGTGGATGTTTCTACACCCGGAGAAACTGCACACAACCTTTTGGACAGTCCTGAAAATGTGGTAAAATTGGTTTGGGCCTGCAAAAAAATGTAGATAACTGAAGCTGTCAGCAACAGCAAACTCATTTTACTGAAATGATTTTGTGTCTGACATACCTGACCTTTATTTGTCAGAATATTGACTTGGGTACAAAAGAGTTTCAAGCTCTGGTCAAAAGCTCAGTGTGCTTTTATTTATACATGATCATATGTTTCAAAGAAAAAGAGACATTATTTTGGCAAAAAAGACTTACAATTTTAATTACAATGTTAATTAAATAAACAATAATTAAAATCAGGGAAAAACCCGTCTATTTTGAGGCATTATGGATTACTGTAATAGTAAAGAGTAGATAAAGAGCTAAAATGAAATCTTCAGTCACTGGGGTTTTTCAGGTTTTTCATAACATCAAACAGCTTATATATAGAAATTCAGATTTATGGTGAAAGAAAAGAGGCTTATCACAGCTAGTATAAGAGAGAAATAATAGAATATAATGGGCATTTAAACCAAAATCTTTAATCAGCATTGCAATTGTTATTGTTATTATAATCCCATTTTATTATTTTCAGGGTTAGGTTTACCGTGTTTCTTCACAGAACAAAATTCCTTTAGCTGCTGGATTTGGCTGAATAGGTCTAGTGCTTTTCCTAAAATCATTTTCCTCAAATTGGTTCTGGAAAGTGCTCTAACCCATCTGGCAGGTGCTCTCTCCTTCTCTCTCTCTCTCTCTCTCTCTCTCTCTTATTGCAGCTGTTCAATTTTGTATAAATAATTAAATATTCATTTGAAAAGGTATTGGCACTCAGGTGTTGCCCCTGCCAGCTGAGTGCCCTAACCCCAAAGCTATAGACTTGTTTTCAATGCTCTCTATTTGTCTCAATGAATATTTCAGTGTTTCATGTAAAATTGAACAGCGTGAAGAGGACTGACTTTGGGAGATCTGTTGCAGCATGGTAAAAACGTTCTTGCTGTCATGTAAAAGAGGAAGAATGAAGTTAATCATGGAGACATTAGATATGAGGTGTATATGAACGAGAGTCACCTCACACCTCATAGAAGAGTCATAGCTGTTGTAAATTCAAGTGTAAGGGAGTTACAAAGTTCTCTTGTGATTATTTTTCTTTCAAAAAGAGCAAAATGAAATATTTATTGATTTGTTGGAAGCTTGAAAACATTTTAGTGCTAGTTCTTTTATTTGGAGACTGTAATTCTTACATTATGGATTGATGTGCTGTTGCCTTCTAACCTGCTGTTGAAAACTGTCCCCCAGCCAAGCATCAAGAGCAGGAGAGATGGGAGTTGACCTGTTCATCTGCCCAGTGTATGAATTCAGAACTACAGGGGGGCTATTCACGTGCCAAATAATATCTCGTGAGTGTGAAATTAAAAAGGGAAATGAAGTACAAGGAAATACTATTGAAAGTTTCGGGTGTTACCACAAAAACATAGGATAAAACAGGTGTTTTTCAGTAACTTTTCAGTTTCCAGTGTTCTACCAAAGCTGTCCATTGTGTTTTGTTCTTGTGGTACATAGGAAAATAGAGGCCAAAGGATTAACAGCTGGCAAAATAAACCACATTAGCTGAGTATCAAGGAATATCATTTAGGAAAATTGGGTAGGAGGTGTTATTCAAATTCTGAATTTAAAAACCCCATCAAATCCTTATGTCATCTGTAGTTTAACACCAGCTATTGGTGTGTACGCCTATACATAGACAGATATGTCTACAGATACAAACAACTTTCAGGGTATTTTTTCCTGTTAGTGTCTCCCATTTTGAAAAATCTGCACTTTTCAGTTTTCCAAGCTTTTTATCTTCTTTTACTTTCAAGTTAGTTAAGTGCATTCTTCTAAGAAAAAAGGCAAATTTACCAAAAGAAATCCTATTTGTAGGAACTAAGAATACTAAGGTTGTACTTGAAAATGTATTTTGGATGGGGACTTTATTTCAACAAGATAATTTGCATCATAAGTGCATGTTCCCTCTCTTGGAGTACACTCACACTTTCTTTTTTCTCCTTGTGAACAGTTTCTTAAAGAAGAAATGCCAGAAGCTAAGTACTCTGGTTTTTAGTTTAAAATGTCTCATGATGCCTCTTTTATGGGCTTCTGAGGTCCGTGAGGCAGACTCTCTGATATCTTAGAACTTTGCAAAGTGTGAATAAAACAGCATGGCTAATTCCAAAGGGTCTGTTTTGATGTGATACCACTTTTCTAAAATGTAAATGGTAAAACATGTAAGGTAATCGACGTTCAGACTCAATATTTGAAACTGTTTACATCTGCACTTGTTTGCCTTTCCTCAGGCAATTTTAGCTGATGGCATGAAACCTATTGGATGCTTAACCTTGACAATCAGTTGTCATCTCTCCTAGGAAATCTGTTTTGAGGAACCGAATGTTCTATACCCAAATTCTGTAATGTTCTTTTCCTTCCAGTAGAAAGAAGACTTGCAACCAGTTTCTGAGATCTGCTTTATCTTTTATCCTTGGTGGGCTTCAGTTTACCTATTTCCTAATAATTTGTACTTGTAATACTGTAAAAGATTTGATGAAGTTTTCCCTCAACACTTTGAAATTAGCAGAGGCAAAGATGTGTATTAGAGTGCTGCACTAGTATTGCAAGATAGAACTATCTTTATTTAAAAACAATCAGCATGTGTCAGTGCCTCCAGATCCTATCTGCAGTTCAGTATGAAAGCTTGCTGATTGTGGTACTGCAGGAAAGTGAAACTTCTCTGTTTATATCTGCAAGGAACTAATAAATGTTTGTCTTTCTCACTTTTGTCCAGTTAAATTTAGCTCACTGCTTTCTCATCTTCCCTGGAGAAATCTAAAGAAGGAAAGTATATTCTTTCTCTGAAGAGCCCCTCCCAACCCTGGTTAGCTGGAGGTGAGAACGTCTGAACATCCCAAGAGTTGAGTTACCAGGTAGCAGTTTACTTTTACTGCAATATTATGTGTTTGAAATGGACTTTCCAGCTCTTTATATTCACAAGTCACTGCATACAAAACTCAGAGATGGATTTTTTTTCATTCCTTTGAACTCCTTGTAGTCCTTTCCCCTGGGAAAATGGGTATAAAAACCTAATGATGTCACTTTACACACCGAGTGTGGGCTGGATGGCACTTTTTAAACAATTGTGTAAAATGTTTGCTTTAATTTTGTCTCCTGAATGTAATAAAGTGCACAGGCACAGTGACAAATTTCTAGGATGTTTATCAGTAAGACTGGGTAAATTGCCTGATTCTTAAAAGCAATTAGGCCACAATTAGTTTTCTTTAAATATTTCACTGACCTCTGCATGCAAGCTTGAGGTCCATAAACATATTGAGTATTTTTTCACTAATCAAAGAAAATCATTATTGAAAATGTTCCAATTTAGAAATTTTTATAAATAATTCAGATCTAAGTCAATCTGACTAATTTCCTTGGGGTATTTTTGTGGTTTCTTTCTTTGTTCTTTAATTGAATATAGCTATAGGAGAGGAAACTCCAGACTTCTTTACCTCCCACATCTTTGTTTTGCCTTTTAAATTTTTTTTTTCTAAAGGAAGTAGTGTCTAAGAGTGAGGAGGGGTACTGACAGTACTGGAAAGTATGGGGTTTTTTAAAGTTGTAATGTTTGTGAACACTAAAGGAGCAACATTGCCATTTTACTCTGATGCTGGAATGTTGTTGGTATCTGTTAAGCACAATCCAGTCATCTGTATTTAGGTCCATTAGTTACCCAAGCACTTGCCTATTTGCATTACAGACTGTAGGCAAGTTAACTCTTGGTGCTAGAAATGCTTTGGTCTATTCCAAGGATTTCAGAGGAATATGAGGCCTGTTCAGCCCACCTGGCTGCAGCAGCTCCTACTTCAAAGTCTAGAAAACCATGAGGCGAAATATTTTCTGTTCAACAGATTTTTCTACCCATTAACAGCCAATTTAATTGAATATGCTGTGTGCTACTTGAAGTGCCAGCTACCAGAAACAGGCAGCATGTGTATTTCAGGGAAAAGAAGGAAACTTTGCTTTTAAAGTCTGTTTTCATCTCCTGTGAATGTTTCACCCACGAGCTTAGGTTTGCAGCCAAGTGAGCACAGCTTTTCCTCAATGAAGTCTTAGATAGTTTCTTCTAAATATGACAACTACACCTAGATGAGCTAGAATTACTATTTCATATCCCTTAGAACCTGTCCTAGTTCAGCTCTGCTTTGCTGGTGCAAGTTCCTGTTCAGCTCCTGAAGAAACTGGAAGTAGAATTTGGTCCTTCTGCCCGATATCAGATGGGATATATGCAGTGGTGACACCTACAACATAAATGTCTGATATTTGAAAAATGTCTAGGTTTACTATACTTTTAAAGGTATTTGTCAGTAATAAGTCTAATACTTTACTGAGCTAAAGATCAGCATTTGAATGGGTGAATGCTGCAGACCCTTGGAAAAGCCTGTGCATAACATAAACCACTTACAGGAGAGGAACAGGATGTATAATATCAAACGATCTTTTCTGCAAGATTTTGCCAATGAAACTGCTTTAAAACTACTCACTGATAGAGTATGTCTCAAGATGCCAGTGTTATTTCTGAATTTAACCACCTCTGCAGCAAGTCCATCCCTTTTCATGATAGATACTCTTTGGGTTTATGTGTGTTGACCTTTTAGGAGGGATACACACTGAAGTAAACATCCATCTACTTACCATTTACTAAAATGATGAGATGTCTACATAGTGTTCTTCCCCTGTATGTTCTGAAGAGAACATCTAAGTTTAGTAGACACTAGACTTAGTAACTTTTTTCCCTGCTATATTTTTATATTATGTCAAAACATGTACATTTTAAGTAGGTTCCTTACCAAGAGTTCAACGTTCTAGAGCAGTCTTAAAATAAAAGAATACTGTGCGTGCAAAAGAAAAATGAGAGGATGTATTACAACATATATAGTGTACATGAAGATCTAAAATGAAATAATTGCTTTTCTTTTATATGCAAGAAATGTAAAGACAGTTCTTTTGAGCTTGTCAATTAGTGTATTATATCTCTCTGTGTATGTCTGTTTGTAGAACAGTAAGATGCAACAATTCCTGATCAGTTTTATGAGGCTCTGAATCACAGAGCACAGTCAATCTTAGTGTTGCTAATCATAGGAATAAATAGAGACCTTTCTAGGCACAGCAGAGTAGGGAAGCAAAATAACCGTGGGCTGAATGTCCTCTTCACCTCTGTACAAAGACAGAGAGGAAATTCTCTTATAATCAAATTTTTTTTTTTATTTTGAGCCAGTTTACCTCCTCTCTCATTAACCAAGGCCCTCCATCTAGCTCCGCTTTTTGTCTTTTCTGGGATAGGCACAGTGTGATTATAACTTTTTTTCTCACTGTTTCTTGTTTTTGAATTGGCAAAATTCAGTTTTGTTTACATTATTGAGAACTGTTGAACTGGCTCTGAAAATTACCTCACTTGATTCCTGTATATATACATGTGCATTTAAAATACATTAGATTAAACTGGTTTTAGCCTTTTTTCTCTATAGGATCTGATGTAAGTCAATACAGGTAATAGTCTGATTAAGAGTGTGTCTAGAAAGTCTTGTTATGCTCAGTTACATACTAAATTCAGACCAAAAAAAATCTGGCTCAAAAAACCTTTGTAACTATTTAAACAAAGATATGTGATTAATGCCATTTCTTGTTCCCCCAGTGTTCAGCTCTGCAAAAATTATTTATGGGATTAATTAAATCAGCAATGAACTATTTGTCATGTGTCTGCTATAAAAATAAACTCCTTAAAAGCTCCAAAGAGCACAGAATGCCTGTGGCAAAACCTCAGTCTGAACATACAGCCTGATCTTATTTTCAAGTGATCTTTCCAGCCTTCTGAAAAATAATGTAGATGTCCATTGCACAGTAAGTTCTGTCCCGGCTTCTACGGTTTGAAAATGAATCCACACGCAGTTCGGGGTGTCAGATGAGCACAAATTAAATTGAGTTGTTCGAAGGTTTTCGTTGAGAGGAAAATTTAAATTCTAATTTAAGTTTATCAACTAACTGGGCTCTTCATTTTTCCTGGGCAGTACTTCAGATATGTTCAAGCCCTTTGCCTGGGAGCACGCTGCAGTGCACTCCTGCACTTGTAATGAAAAGTGCTTGTAATTAGTACGGTTACTTTCTTATGTAAACTATTCCCGAGTACTGGAGAAGCTTTAATATTCATATTTTTTGCTTTGTACTTCGCAGGTTTTCATCTGATAGCAACACATCCATGGAAACAAGATTTAAGGGTAGTTAGAGGATCAGGTGTGTCTTCTTTACGAACTTGATGGACAATAAACCTGTGCATACAGTAGATTTTTGTTAAGGCATTCCATAGACAAAGACCTCTCTGGTGTATATAAAATTATTTTGAATTTTAATTTCCAATACCTTCTTTTTGATAAAACATTAAGTTTGTACACTTCTTGTGAGTAGCAATTTACAGTGACATTCTGGCTTGTGGGAGAAGACAGAAAGCTGTCACAATCCCATCATGCACTGAGATCGTGCTTTTATTCTAAAATGGCTTAAAATCTCATTCAGAATGATGAGTGTTAGCATCAGAATGAATTTATTTCCTCACATCCATCAAGCACCTAAGGCTCTTGCAAGGCCTTAGCAGAATAGTTTGGGCTCAAGATACAGATTGTTCAAGCCTTTAGTTCTTCTGTCTTTCATCTTCCTGTAATGAGACTCACCATTATTCCTAGAGTTTTACAAGACTTTAGGGGACTTAAACAGTATTTGTTCTATTAGCTTTCTGTGATGTAGCTGGGAAAAGGCTTTGTGTGTTGAGCAGAGTAATAAATGCATTCTGTGGAAAGAATGAAGCAGAAGAGGAAAGAATAAAATAGATAAGTAGAACAGTGTATAGAATTGGCAGTTCTTAATTCCCCTCATGTGGAGACTGTGCTGCATGATACAGAAGGTAGAAATCAATTAAATGCTTAAGACTGATAAAATTCTCATTAGCAGAATCTCAAAACTCTGAATCAACAGGGGTACCAGGGCTTGAAGATAGGAAAGATGAAGAAAGGGGAAAGGGAAATTCCTTTGGAAAGACAGTAGTTCCTTGGAGTATCCTGATTATTGGTCTGTATCAATTTATTTCTATTTCTTCCTCTTCTTATCGATCCCTGTAAAAATCATGAAGAACTCGAGGGAATTTGTGATAAATTCAAGTTTCTATTGCACTTCTCCATTCTCCAATTTAGGCAATTGCCTTCCACAAGAAAGGACTTTGATCAGAAACTTAATTTCATTTTTTACTTCAGCAATTGTATATAGAGAAATAAAAGCTGATTGACAAAACCCATGTTCTTTATATTGTCCCAGAGGAGACTGTAAAAAAAAATGACTTCTAATTTCTCTGACACATGAAAAAAGCATCGTTTTTGTGTCTCTGCCTCTCTCTAGTGCTTGGTGCTTCTGCCTAAGTCTGGCTTTCTGCTTTTGCCTCCATAGGATCATCCCCATTCCAGAATGCTACTTATCAGAAAATGGATTCGTGGCCATATTTCACAAGTGTGCTGTCACCCTAACTGGTCATTACAGGGAGTAGCCAATTCCAAGTTGCTCCTGCTGATGGGAATGAGAGGAGAGGAAAAGGGGGTGCAGTTGAGCAGAACTGCATGCACGTTCCTCCATATATCCAGGGAAGAAAAATTAATCTGAAAAAGAACTTTTGGAGCCAGTGGCTTTTGTATAGAAAACTGAGCATCAGGGACATGTTAAATAGAACCAAGTTCGTGGCACAAGCTTCAGGAGAGAGTATTAAGTCCAGAAAAAAGCTCTGATCAGCTATTAACATTTTACATAACTAGTCTCCTAACTTCTATGCTTCCAATATGGGCGAGAAAAAAATGTTCTTACTATTAAAGCCA